TCGGTCTAGACAAAGAAAGGCCAACGCAGCAGAGGACCAAGTTGGAGGACATGGAGGATGGTCTCAACTCCTGTCTCTCACTAACATATAAACGCTTAAGCGTAGACGATGAATGATAGATGGCTAGGACGAGGATGGTGACAGAAACACTTCTACGTGTACGTCTCTCGTTTGGAGACAGGCATAGAAACCAGAAGGACGAGTGACTTCTATGCTTCCCAAGTAAACACACATCCAGATAGAGGGAGAGAGAGGAGAAAGAGAGGGAGATTTGGACACAGGGGAGGAGATGGATGGAAAGTTAAATATGTATAAAGAGAAGAAATAATTGTTAGTCAATCGACAAGTCAGTCAGTCTGCTGCTCAACTAAATCACTCGGCCTCCATTAGCCGTCCAGGTGAAGCACAGACCTCGGACAGGTCCAGACAGTCTGCCCCGTTTGTCATGGGCTCACCTGATCCGCCCGGCGAGACAAGGCTCAGGCGCGCTGCAGTCCAGTCAAGGCCAGGTCGGGCTGGACTGGGCCGGGCCGAGCCGAGCCAGACGACAGTGAGACCGTGTCTGCTAGACAGCAGTTGCACCGGCCCAGACGTGGACTAAGCGACCGAGACAACAGTCTCGCTTGGCCAGTGGAGAGGAGGTACAATTGCTCCCATCACGGAGAGGAAAAGTTACTTACAAATTTAGCATAACGGCAGTGTGTGTTGGCATGCTTATCGATTGAGACATTGACTGACTAAGTCATTTGCAGACACGGGTTTCGCAGGTCTTGGAGATAGACCGACTGAGTGCGGTAGTGGAGTAGGCCTTAAGTATGCTCTCCAGACCTACCTCCTCACTCTCTTTCATCCGCTGCTACTATCGTCAGGCTGGCCCCAGACAAGGGGACTGGGGACTGCCTTTGCATGGCCCCGATTGAAGTTGGGACAGTTGCTAGTGTGAACAGACAGACAAGCGCTTTCGCGGTACCCTCAACCGTGTAGCCCGAAGTCAGGACACAATGTGAATAAATGTCTCCGTCAGCCTCACCCTCGATTTGTTGGCAAATGTCCAGGAATGCGTCTTAAATATCTACAAACACACACACACAACTGTATATATGTTATTTAATAAGCGAATACCGGTGCTCGAAAAGAGACTACGTTATGATTTTTTGAAAACTAGAATAAAATAGACAGTAAAGGAAGTAACGAAGGCCAAACTATTGAAATAGGAGGTGATTGTGGATGAATGCGTCTATCATTAACGCTTGAAAGAGGGAAAAAGCCAAGAACAAGGGGATACAAACCGAGGCAACAGACACGAGAAAGGTCAAGTGGAGTCTGTCGCTCAGACATTAGCTTATTCAATACGTTTTCCAATGTCTAGACCTACTGCAATGCCAGTTATGCGTGCACGCACGCACGCACGCACGCAC